TCGTTTCAAATTCGAACTGCGTCGTCAGTGAAACAATTGATGCGTTTGGACGCGTTTTATTTCTAACCGCATCTAAACGCATTTTCTCCTTAATCGCGTATAAACGCAGGGATTGTTTCATCCACGCTGCGTATAGACGCGTTCCTATTACTGCAATTCAGACGCGATTTGAACGCAGTTGACACGCGTTTTTATTCAAAAAATATTTACATGGGAGAAATAAACGATTCAGTCGCTTGTGTAACAACGATGAAACACAAAAGAAAGAAGAAGAGTTGAAGCCAATACATCGTTTGGAATAATCAAAATACTTGTGACGATCTTTTTGTTATTTCAGAATTTTCTGATCTAACTATTTTCTTTCCCTAATCAAAGAAAAGAAAACGAGAAATGTAGAGCATCTATTGTAAATAATATCGATCAAGCGTTTGTTATTATAGGGTTTTTTAGAAAAAACAATTTTCTTCCGATAACTATTCAATTAACGTTCAAATTATGAAAAGCAAACATATTTCAATAATTTTTACAATTACCGGTGAATGTTCGCAATCGATCAAATGCTATTTCATCATTTATTACCGATGTCAATAGTACGATTGCATCAAACTGTAACAAATAGAATAATAAAACTTTATCTATTCGTTTAAATCTTATTTACTAGTTCATTTATAACAAAAAAAATGTTATCAATAAATATACATAAGAATAAATGAATGATAATATGATTGGCTTATAGGCAAATATAACAGTTATACGTATATCATTTTAAGGATGTGAGTTTTACTGATAAATATGGATAATGACGAGGCTTTCATTCACATCCTATCCATCCTCTTGAAGAAAAAAGCAAAAACAACATATCGACAATAGTGCATTTCAGCATCGAATTGCTTGCTTGCTTGCTCTTGACTTTTAATAAAATAAATAGAAATATACTGCAGTATTTGTTAATAGTAATCTATCGTGAATTTACATTGCCATCGATTCTAGACCGGTTCTATCTTACAGTATTCACTTCCTAAAATAACTGTTTATACTTTTACCTGTGGATAAAATAAAAACCCGTGAGAGGATTGTTCGTGCCTACAGTACCACATATACATATTTACTACAACTAACACTATTTGTCAAAAATTCTTTACAAAAAGATGCGATTCTTTGTATGCCTTCAGAAGTTTACGCGCTGAGTTATAATACACAAAAGTCAAATCAAATGATTGTGAGACAAGTATCTTTCCTAGAATTATGTTTATGATGATCAGTCTTACGAATAACAATTTTACAGATACTCATCGACGATGAATTGCTGCAGATAGAAAAGAAATGTCTTGATTTTCATCTTAATTTTATATTTTTAAAATAATAATATATTCAATCTGACGGCATATTCTATTTAATTATGTAAATATTTTTGAGTGAAAGTATAAAATAAAAAGGAGACATGCACATTTGTCGAGTGTAATCTAAATCTTTCTTATAGTTTAGAGGTACATATTGAATGTCTATAGAACTTCTGTAGGAAAAAATATCTTGCCAAGATAATAAACACGCGATCTATTAAGGACGAAAATGTTCATGTATTTTTATCCATTGATCATTAACCTGTCGTATGTTGTTCGTTTCTTGGAAAAATTCGAACATGTCGTAATAGATTAATAAATCTTTTTCTAAATGGTTTTGCTGTTGAAATAAATAGATAAAAAGGTGCAACACCAATGAGATAAATAAGAAATTGAGTAACGAAAGTAATGAATGTTTCAATTTCTAATCGTTTCGAACTTTTACTAACAACATAATATGTAATTGCTCCATAGACAAGATTAGTTGAATATGGAATTGATGTAACAATATTTATTATAACTTCAGCAATTAACATACGCATAAGATATCGATCTCTTTTTCTAATACGTATTTGGGCAGCATGTCGATATTGAAGAGTACGAATAGTTAAAGAACTGAAAATAATCATTAATATCGGTGGTAGAAGACCAACTAGAATAATTTGATAGATTGCATAAATTAATTTATATAAATCAAACATTCCACAAACACTTTCTCTTATAGACATTAAAATAGGTACATGTATACCAATAATAAACCATATTAAACTTATAGTAAAAACAATCTTTACTGCTATTTGAATTGAACTTAATGAACGAATATGAAAATTTGTTTGTGTAATAATATATCGATCAATACAAGCGAATACAACAATATAGCGAATACATTGACCTAAACAATGACCAACATACAGTCTCGTTTTACAATAGAATAATGATTTTGTTTGAAGATCAGAATGATCAAGTGAATAAAAAATTGGAAACATAAGCCATATTAAATAGATAATAGAAACAATCGAAAGTGATAGAAAATAAATTGAACTAGGTGTACGACGATATGTAGATTGAGTAAATATAATACAATTAAAAATATTACCAATAATACCTAATGCAAAATAAATTGTCATTCCATATCGAATCATTTTTTGTTGTATAAAAGGTAAATCTGTTATATTCATGATATATTTGTATTCTAAAAGAATAAAACTTGAATATTTTTGTATTTATAATCAAAATATAATGTCATCAAACAGAGCAAATGTTTTTAAATAAGATTTGAAAAGACAATAATTATGTCTGATAATTCATTTTATATCTTTGACATACTATAGCGTGTCGACTTATCATTATAATCATAAATACGAGAAAAGGTGAGCACGTGAATAATCGTGGGTGTTTAAGCGCATATTTCCACAAAGTTTTTTTTTTTGGGTAATTTGATAAAGGAAAGAAAAAGAAGTTCTTTGAAGTCATAGCAAAAGTCTTATTAAGATAGATATATTTAGCTTTGATTAAAAATGACAGACCGGCGTTTTTGTTTCTCAACATTATTGTTCATTAAAATACGATGAATAAATTATTAGAAAATAATAAATAACGTTGATAAAGAAATCTTCATTTCAATCAATAAAAATCATTTCTATCGTTAGTTAATCATAATGAGATCTTTCAATTACATTTCTCGGTAAATATCTCGAGTTAAGCAATAAGAAGAGGATACTATACTTTTAATACTGCCGAGTTTAAAAATAAAAACTAATGTACATTTATAAATTACCACCATTTTTCCTGGAATATGAAAAACGAACGCGGGTTTGTGAACGATGAGCACAGGAAAGGTAAGCACAGGAAATTTAAGCGCAAATATAATAAAAAAAGTCTGGTCTCTTCTAAAAGATCAATCCGGGGTGCGGGTGTGGGTGTGGATCGGTGTGGGTGTGAGTGAGGTTTGTGCAGATGTATGTGTTAATTACAAAAAAATATAATATTTATAGTCACACCCGCTCACATTTACACCCACACCCTCTATGAATTACCCCCATCCAGGATAACGACGTAATAAAATTTCTCATGCCTATACTTGGAATGAGCATGATCTATAACCTCGAATCCAAAAGATTTTATTGAAAAAGTGATTAGACCGTTCAATAGTTTTCCTCGCCAGTATTGTATTTTTATATTAAATGAAAGTTTCGTCATATACATTGTATCAGATAAATAGAAGCATCGTCGTTCTTTTGAAGATATTCATATAAGAAGTATATAAATGTTATGACAAGAACTATTGAATAGTATGTAAAAAAATATTATATTCTGGTTTATTTCCAATATAGTAATAAAAAAAAATAATATAATATGAATCGAATACAGTTTTTGCATGGAAAATCACACTAGTAACCTTTAAAAAACAATACACAAATATATAGTAATTATTGTTTATCTAATTCAAGGCTTTTTTGATGTGTAGGTAGGTTTTTTAGTGCTCATTTGAGCTGGAATATTGGACTTAGGAAGAACTTGTGAATTAGTTTGTGCTCTTTGCGATCGTTGAGGTGAGTCCATCGTTCTCGTATCTATTGCATAGTTTCTATTTTTATTTGTTGTAGTGCTGTTACTAGATGGTAGTTTTCTTGAAGCTGTTGTCTGTATTATTGTGGATGGCTTTTTATTTGCAGTCATTCTGTTTTGTTGTAGTTCTTTTTCTGATTCGCTTGGTTTATTCGGTGAAGCTGATGCTTCAGAAGCGTGGCTACCAGATGAAAAAGTCATATTTTGTGTTTTTATTTGTTCCGTATTGATATTGAACTTCGAGGAAGTAGATAATTCCATAGAACTATCGTTGTTTGGTAAAAGTAGCAAAACGTTATACATAATTGACGATTTTGGTTGCCATTTTTCTCCTTCATACGCAATCCACTTACTCAAACATTCCATAAATTTTTTAGCATAGACGAACTTTATCCATTTCTGAGGAAGCTTTTCATAGCCGTAGTAGGCACCAGCCAATTGACCATAAATAGCAGCTGTTGTATCAGTATCATCGCCGAGATTAACTGCGGCGAGTGCTCCTTTTTCAAAAGAATCTCCATCAGACCAAAAAGCCCACAAAGCAGCTTCGAGTGCATCAACAATATATCCTTTGCCTCGAATACCTTCATCATATCCACCTTTCCGCTTATATGATCCTTCAGCAATATTCATGATCTCTGGACAGAGTAGATTATTACTGAACCATTCTTCATGTTTAGAATAAAAGTGATTGTCAAGTAACTGTTCTTTTGTTTCATTACGAAGAGCAGCCACGATTAAAGCACCATAATAACGACAAGCATCATACGCTTTTCGATCACCATGAGTAATCATGCCGCTTAGACCAGACAATTCGACGGCATATTTTGGAAACTTATAGAAAAAAAGAGGTACAGGTGCCAATCGCATCAACGCTCCATTTCCAGCTACACCGTCTTCACTGCAATGCACATCAAAGTTTTTGAGTAGATCAGAGTCTGAGAGAAAGTCTATTTGATCAAGAGAAATGTTATATTTTGTCGTGAATTGTTTTTGGTGACGTTCAAACTCGCATATCGATTGTTTAGTAGCTGCACCAATATCAAAACATGATCCTGTCGATGACATATACCCATTTTTATACCACCATTTATAGCGAACTAACTGATCATAAAGAACGAAATCATGACGATTCACTAAGGAAATTGCCAAGCATAAAGCCATGGATGTATCATCTGTGAACTAAAACAAATATACGGTTACATGATTTATATTTTATAAAATTTCTACAAAGTCATCTATTGGAACATTCTCTAGGGAAAAGTGTAAAAACAAACTAAATAAACAGATTTCATGATTAGTTACTTCTGTTTTTCAACACATTACCTGCCCTTTTTCTAAACCCCATGTTCCTCCTCCTTCAAGATCTTCTACTGGATGTTCCAGAAGAAACTTTCGTGGTCTAAACTCGACATGAGCACCAAGAGCATCACCCAAAGACATTCCAATAATAGATCC